GGGTGCATTATTTAAGGGGAAAGAGATAAGAAGATACAAAGAGTAACAACTATTAATTTCCTATTCAATAAATAGATGACTCCAGAAAATGAAAATAAGATTCACTGTTGACCAGATAGGTCCCTTGATGGTACAAACAGTTTGTGATTAATTATTAACCTAACAGTCAGCTGTCAGAACCAATGCAGTGGCACCTCAAAAGAAAGGCCTGGAGATATGTTTCTATAAAAAGTATATCCAAGAAAACCTTATAGAGTAGTTCTGTTCTACAACACACAGGGTCCCGTGATTCAGAATCAACCTGGACAGCAACAGGATTGGTTTTGGATTTTGGATCACCAGGTAGACTGCCATACTTCAAGTTACTAAAATGCCCAATGGAATTTTTAACAACCCCCTGGTTAATTCTAGACTTTGATTCTAAGACACTATTTACACTTAGATATTTAACTGGCGTTTCTTTTAGAATTTGTTTTTAACCAAATCATTCGGCAATTTAAGTAGAAAAGTGAAAATGATTTAGAAATATACTTTAAAAATAAAAACTTATTTATGGTACCTTCTTACTCCTTTTTACTTTTTTATCCCCAGGCAAGTAATCCTGAATAATACTAACTGTAGATACTAAGCTGACAGAAGTCCTTAGAGGTAAATCACTGGTTACATACAGTGTTTCAAGATACTACTTATACTGCAGAAATTTCACACTACTTTATTTACTTGATTTTATTCTTCAGATTTGAAATTTCTATTAAAATATAATCCGGTTTGTTGTAATATAATGTAAAATATTTTTAAGAATAATACACTAAAAACAAAAATTGCAGTAAAAAGCTCCTACCCCTTCTCCACCAAAAACAGAAACAAAAAAATTTAAATTGGATAGAGATACTAACATATAAAAGCTAAATATTTATAAGCAGTATTATGAAGATTGATATGAATGTTTTTATTCCCAAATTGAAGAAACAGTCAAAGAAGTAACAAATGTGGCCCTTCCTCATCTCTCATTTTCAAGTAACTGGTGATCAGGCAAAGGAATGAAAAGTAACTTTAAAAATACAAAATGTCAAGACAGGTGTAATTTCTTAGTTTAAAATCTCAGAATAAAATTAATTTTAAGAATAGGTATGTTGATTTTTTTCTTTGTTTCTTATTTTCAAGGTAGCTCTCAAGCTGGGAGCTCTGGTGGCATAGTGCCTAAGGCATTTGTCTGCTAATCAGAAGGCTGGCGGTTCTAACCCACCAGCCGCTCCGCAGAAGGAAGGCTGGGCAATCTACTTCCGTAGTGATACCGCCTCAGAAACCCAAAGAGGGGTCGCTATGAGTCGGATACGACTTGATGGCAGTGCTTTTTGGTTTTGGTAAACTCTCTGCCAGATGACTTACACAACTAAAACAGATTCATGTTTCATAGTTTTTCAGAGGATTCTAAGTATTCAAGTTATAGATTTAAAAAAACACCTATCTATCAATTTACCAATTTATATCTAAGAGCTGTGGGTAACAGCCAATTAAATTGTAATAGTACAATACAGTCAATTAAATTGTAATAGCTACAACAGGGATCTGATATATTACTGGAAAACTTTATGAAAAGCCCTAAAACACTGTCCAGTATAGTGTCGGAAGATGAGCCCCTCAGGTTGGAGGGTACTCAAGACACAACTGAGGAAGAGATGCCTCCTCAAAGTAGAGCTGATCTTAATTATGTGGGTAGAAAAGGGGGAAGGCCCTCAACAAGATGGACTGAAACAGTGGCTGCAACGATGCGCTCAGGTACAGCAAGGATCGTGAAGCTGGCACAGGACCAGGCAGTGTTTTGTTCTGTTGTACACAGGGTCGCTATGAGTTGGAAATGACGGCACCTGACAACAACAACAACAGTAAAAGTCTTTTCCTTTACCTGTTACATATGCTTTTGTAAATCTACATGTCACAGCTGAAAAATTTCCCCCAACTTAGAAAATCTGTATGTAACAGGTAATGAAAAGAGAAAGAGCCATATTGGGAATTAGGACACTAACTCCCCATATGGGAGTTCCAGTCCCAGCTCTTTAGATAATATACTCTGGGAAGTCAAGCAAGTCTTATAACCCACTATACCTCAGTTTCTCCAGTGGCAAAATAATACCAGTTTTGGCCATCCTAAGAAATCTGTACTTGCCCATCATATAAAATGTACTAGTTGCCTCTTATATAAAACAGCTATTTTCTTTGGCTCTCAAGAGCTAATCTGCCTGTCCGTTGTGTGGGAAACTGAGGTCAGAGGGATGGCATTAACATGACCTGGACAAGTGGCAAATTGAACTAGATATCATCTAAATTCTCTTTGAGCTTATGAATACTTTCCTGGGTTCACAGACCAGAAGAGGGACTATCCTATGCAGCTAATGTGGAAATGGGGCATCTGCAAGATAAGCGATAGTAGCACTCACTTACTGGGTATCAGACTGGTCCTAAGGGTAAGTAGGATTCTGCCTGGAGTTGGAAAGGTGAATAAAGGCAAAAAGAAGGAATAGTAATATTGTGTTATTTCAAAAGACACTTAAAACATCAAAAGTTATCAAAAAATAGCCCTCAGCCAGGACTTTTACTTCATTTGGGATTTAACAATTATTCACATTCATCATCTTTTCAATTTATATTTATGCCCATTGCCTGAAAATAGAAACAAGTAGGAAAAAAAGAAGAGATGACCCTTTTGCCCCATCTTCCTTTCGAGGAGTGGCTGATAGGTTTGAACCGCCAGCCTTCTGGTTAGCAGTCAAGTGCTTTAGGCACTATGCTACCACAGCTCCCCTGGGGAACTAACTCACAACAAATTGAACATTAAATGCACAGCAGGAAACAAGCCTTTTCAGTCTTTCAATCACATTTTCAAACCCTATTTCTGAGAATACAAAAGTCTAAGCTCATATGAATGTCACTGTAAACCCCTCTCTGTGCCATCTGATTTTATCCACATATTTATATCCAATGTACAAACAACTTAAAATGTTTACACTGTGTAGTAATGGAAGTCATGTGTCAAGGACTGGGGGGTACAGTAAAGCTGTCTTCAAAACTGAAGCTTAAAGATGTACAGTATCTGTGGAAAATCTGGCTTACAAGTAAGAATGCATTGTTTACCCATTCCATTTAACTATGAGAATTTGTGTTTTTCTCTTTTCCATACAATTTCTAAAGTATCATTATTATTATTAGATATTTCTCTGCAGTGTTGCCCAAAGCTATGGAAGTCTCCACATACAGTCTCAAGGAACAAGACCACACACAGTCCTATGATTTCTGATCCCCATTTCCTTTCTGTTCCCACCCCCAGGGAGAGGCAGTAAAGGACCCTCCCACCCTGTCCAAAGTAGAAGAGCAAAAACTATAGAGAGAGCCTTCCTCCCACTACAGGTACTCTAGCTTGTTGGCTTATCTTGCTGAGCACTGTGAAGAACAGGAAAACTACCAGAGGCCAGGAATAGATTATTTGCATCTTTCTGCTGGAAGAGTCCTTTGAATTCATCACCAAGTGTAACTCCATAGGAGTTCTGGTGGTGTAGTGTTTAAAGTATTTGGCTGCTAACCAAAAAGTCGGCAGTTCGAACTCACCAGTCACTCTGTGGGAGAAAAATGAGACAGTGGGCTTCTATAAAGATACACAGCTGTGGAAACTCTATGGGGCAGTTCTACTCTGTCCTATAGGGTCACTATGAGTTGAAATCAACTTAATAGCAGTGGGTTTGGTGTTTTCTTTTGTTTTTTAAAATAAATTTAAGGGGATTGTCTTTGCTTGTTGTTGTTATATGCTGTTGAGTCAGCCTCGACTCATAGCGACCCCTGCTTGGGTTGCTGAGGCAGTATCACTATGGAAGTAGATTGCCCAACATACGTATTCAGGAAAAAATCTCAAGAAAACTCTGTAGAAGAAATAATATATTGGCTCCATACAGTCCATAGTTTCCCTCCTAACCAGAATCCATACTAGGGTTAATGCCTACAGAATGCGAGAAGATATCAAAGGAGAACACTGTCATGACTGCCCATTTCTTTGATGTATGTGCCTTAGATGCATAGATCATCACAGTAAGTTTACAACTCTTCAGTGAAGTCTGGTTCCTCTTATCTGAGAGCCAAGATCTTCCCTAGTCCCTGACCATGCTCATCTCAATCATTTTCACCCTTCACCCTCTCAGGTAGTTTCAGGAACATGGGTGTACTGGCTGAATACAGGCTTGCCTCATTTCAGTTATTACTTTGCACAGTGTTCTCTGAATTCCATGAAGACTATGACTACGTTGAACAGTCACCCTGACATCTCCATACCCTTCTTGTTCCAAACTCAGAAAAGCTGACTCTGCCCCCACCCTTTCCTTTTCCTGCCTCTTGGCAAAGACAGAATCTTTGTTTTACTTAGAGGTAGTTCTGCTTGCCCCTCTCAGTTGCAGAAAAGGGCATCCTTTTAACATGTATTCTCATTGAAAAAAATATACATTCTCAAGTTCAAAAATTTGGCAATTCTTCAAGGTCCATTTTTACACATTCACTCTCAATTTGGTTCTATAGATGTACCAGCCAAGACCACTGAAAATTTGTTTTTTCTCCAGTCTCCCCTACTCACTTACACACCTAGAAACTGGGGTTGCTATGAGGAAGCAATGAATGCTTGAGGGGAAAAGTAATTTGAAGAGGTGAACAACAAAAAAACAGACAGACCCTCCTTCTGTCAATTTTTACCATTAAACTAAACTTTCCCTCACCTGATTCATATAACCAATTTCGAATTAAAATTAATTTAAGCTAAAATAACTTAATTAAACTTAAATTGATTAAAGCAAAAAGAACCAACCAACAATATATTTAGAATTTTTTAAATTCCTTAATTTTAAGCTAGCTACAATGTCTGGCTGCTTGATATATTTTCTATCACAACTGAAAGTTGTGAGAAAAAAATACTGAGACAAAAAATTACCTGAGCTACCTTATATTGAGTCTTATTTACATCTTACCTGTAAATATGTTTCCAAACCTTGCCGTCGTTGTTCCAAGACTTTTGGGACCCAGTTTCTAACATGTTTAGAGGGGATTTCTGGAGTTTTTATACATTTCTTAAGCTGTAAATACAAAAACAAAACAAAAAAACAGGAAATTTCTCTTAATTATAAAGATGTGGTCTGTGGCTCAACTGGCAAGACATACTACACAAAAACATTGTTCTACATGCTACTTTGGTGAATAGTGACTGGGGTCTTAAAAACTTGGAAGTGGCCACACATATGATGCAACAATTGGTATCTCCTCATCCAGAGCAAAGAAGAATGAAGAAAATCAAAGATATATTGAAATAATTAGTCCAAGGGACTAGTGGATCATGGAAATCTCAGCCTACACAACCCTGAGACCAGAACCAGATGGTACCTAGCTACCACTGCCGACCACTCAGAAAGATATCAAAGTAGGAGATTCTGGATAGAATGGGGAAAAAATGTGGAACAAAGCTAAAAAAAAAAAAAAGGAAAAAAAAAAAAAAAAAAAAGACCAAGCTTACTGGTCTGATAGAGACTGATGAAACCCCCAAGACTATGGCCCCTAGTCACCCTTCAGGCCTGGAACTAAACTTACTCCCCTGGCTTCCAGACAAACAGGCCTACAAGGTGAATCATGTATGTGTATTCCTTAGAATAATCAACCATGGGAGATCAGAAGGGCATCATTTGCACAGGGAGATAGCTCACAGGACAGGAATGCATAGGAAAGAAGGACACAGGGAAAAGGTAATGACAGGGAGGAAGTGGGAAGAGAGTGGTTACATTGTGAGGACTGCAATCTAATGTCATGAAACAAAATGTGTATGAACTGCTGAATGGAAAACGAATTTGCTCTGTAAACTTTCACCCAAATCATAATTGTGTGTGTGTGTGTATATACATATAATTTTTTATATATATGTATGTGTGTGTGTGTGTGTGTGTGTGTGTATATATATATATATATATATATAATTAAAACAACAAAAACAGATGCTGTTTGTGAAAAAAGCTAATAAAATA